GAGCGTTAAGGGCCGCTCGCTTACGCAGACGGCGCAAGCGCCCGGTGCACGTCTGGCGGCTCTAGCCCTGGATGTGCGCGCGAGTGTCTTTCTCGCGCTAAGAGTCCAGCTCCGCCTCTCGTCCGAGCCCCACAACCACCACCTTCCCCCGCTCCGGCCCGGCTCTCGGATTGGCCAAGGCGCGCATCAGTCAGCGCCCGGACCCATCTCGCGCTCCCCATTCATGCAGTTTGGTTGAGTGTTGGTGTATTTTACTGTTTGCAATAAAGAGGGGGGGAATTTTTTTTTCCCGTTCAGTTTCTGCTGCAATTAACTCTGGGTCTCTCATATAGTGTGGGAGAGGGGGAGATCTCTCTCTTCTTCCCCCCCTTTTTAAAACAAAGCCTTTCCCAGAGGGGTTTGTTTGGTGTTTCTATTTTGCGCGTGGGGCTTTGCCTTTTTTAAAAAAAAGCGTTTCGGGGGGAGGGGTGTCTTGATTAAATATATATTTTTTTAAATAGATATCCATCTCTCTTGTTTTGCAAGCAGCTATTAAGGTTCAACTATGCCCAAAAGAAAGGTAAGCAAAGAAACAAAAATATTGGTGGCGGGGGGGGGGGAAGAAATGGGGGGGGGGGGGAAAAGAAATATATTGGTGGGGGGGGGGGGGAAGAAGTGGAGGGAGCAGAGAGTATGGAGCCCGTTTGCGCGCGGGGGGGGGATAAAAATGTCTTGATTTGCGCGCGCGCGCGCGCTTGAGTGCTCGATGTGTAGTTTTTTTTTGTTATGTGTGCGTGTTTGCATTTTAATATGTCGGTGCATGCCGTCGAGCGGGGCCGATGCTGATGCGAGACGCTTCGGAAAGGCGACCGGGGCGAGCCCGGAGAGCCGACCGGAGTTGAGTTTGGGCTGTTTTGTTTGGAGAGGGCGAAGGCGCCGCTCGCTGCTTGTCTCCATGCTGGATCACCAACAGCCATCGTACTGCCTTGCGGGTGCCTCTATGGAGATCGCCGGGGTAAAGGCGCGGAAGCCTCCGTGCCTTTCCCCCGCCCTCCCCAAAGAAGCCGAGCAGGTTGCTCTCCCCCAGCTCGAGCCTTGACGGTCATCTGCCGGGACTGGGGGGGATTTGATCGGCTTGCATTTCGTGGCGAGGTTCGCCTCCGGAGCGGGGCTCTTTCTCCTGCGTTTGCCTTTGTTCTTTCTTTTCTTTTTTTTTTGTCCTTCCTCCTACTTCTTGTCATACCAGATGGTTGTGCAATGGAGATCCGGAGCCATTAGGCGGCGCAGAGTTTTGAAATTGTCCTTGCAGCAAATAAATCAACCGTTTTTTGTCCTGTACCAAAAAGGCCTCGGGGCGCTCCCCCCCCCCCAAAAAAAAAAGTGGCTGGAGATTAATTCCGTCTATAGTTTGATTCATTCGTCAAGCAGAGATTGCACTCGAATCAAAAGCGGCAACGCTCCTGTTTGCAGAGAGATTTGGCGCCGTACCTGTACGGGCAAAGCGTCGCTTATGCAATGTTGCCTTCCCCTCCCCCACCTCTCTCCCCCGGGTCCATCCTTCCCCCCCCTCCCCGCGGCCGATCCAGTCTAATTCGGTTTTAGTTGCTTCGTCTCTGGAGCCTGCCTCCCTGGTGCTGAGCGCAGAAATAATGTCCTTGCAAAAAAAATAAAAATTAAAAATATCGCGACCTTCTTGTAGGTAATTTGGCGGGAACTCTTATTTTTTTTAAAAAAAAAAGGCTTGGGCGACTTTTGACGTAACGACGTCAAACAAAACAAATTGGCTGCCGGGGCATTGTGGGAGTTGTAGTCTTTGCTCTGGGAGTTTGGAGGTCAGTTTAGAATAGCCTCAAGGCAGCAAAAATTCAGCCGGGAGGGGGAGGAGCAAGCCCCCCCCCCCTTTAACTTTTGCAGGCATTTTGCAAAATTGATGTAAGGGACAGGAAAGACTTCTGGTGTCACCCAAAGCACAAAGGGGCAGGTGAGGAGTTGCAACATCTAACTGGCACAATAAGAAGTAGGAGCTGTCAGTGATCTGTCAGGGGGTTCTGGGGTTTGCTTTACTGTCTCACACCTTGTGCTGAATGCAAACCGAGTTGGTGGTGACATCGCCCACTTAGACCTGCATGTAAAGCTGAAAATAGTGGCTACCAGTTCTATGCCTAACAGGCCCTTCTGTTTTGACTAATGTCCCAGTCTCCTAGAGATTTATTTACAGGCGTTTGGCATCCATTTCCTTTTAGGGGGGAAACACACACACACACACAAATGCAAATACTGACATTTTGTATGTGCTTCATTTTTTAAAAAACAGGCTGCAGCTGAAGGTGAGGTAAAGGAGGAGGTAAGTTTGTTTACATGGCATCATTGTAAAACATGCATCCCTGCTTTTCTCCTCCCCATCCCTCCTGGTAGAAGGAGATTAATGAGTCTCTGGTGCATTCACAAAGCGGAGAATTCGGCAACAATCCATTGTTATGGGGAGGGGGGCCTCTCCAAAACTTTGATGCACAGTTGGCAGTACAGGTATTCAGACATAACCATAATCCAGCAAATTGATAAGTGTCGTGAAATCACCGGGTTTGCCACTCAATCTCAACTATGTTTATTCAGATGGGAGCCCCACAGGTTTTAGTGGAGCCTGCTGGAAGTATGTTTCAGGGGGTAGCCCTGTTGGTCTGCAATAGAAGAGTCCAGTAGCACCTTCAAAACAAATGAGTTTTTTCAGGTATTCAGTTTCGAGAATCGAACCTTCCTTCATTGGATGCAAGTAGGAATGGAGATCCCTCTGTCCATATATCACAAAAAATCTTCTTGGTCTCTTAAGGTGTTACTGGACTCGGTTCTAGCTCTCTAGCTGGAAATATGTTAAGGGTTGCAGTCATAAGAAGTTAACTTTGAATGGTGCCTGTTCACTTAGCCTATCCATTTTACTGGAATTAACAAAGTATGCCACGAATAGTAGACTTGTGCTGATCTGATTGTCTGGTGCATAGTGCAGAAAGGCTACAATTTACTTAAAACATATAGGCTGGGGGCTGTTTTCTGACCATCAGTGCTCTTAAGATACAATCCCCAGTGCTACATTCCAGTGTTTAGTCTTACAAATTGGAGATGGTTATACAGAGCCCTGAAAATGTTCGGTGATGTGGCTACCACATCAACTGCTACAGCCCAGAGACTCTTCACTGGCTGATACGGAGTTTCCTTTGCTAGCACTGGGATGGGCGGTCATTGGCCTGGGGCCTGTTGCTGCTGCTTTCCCCCATAAGTAGTTAGCAGGGACTGAAAGGAAAGAGGGTCTGTAGCCATTTTTGAGCAAAGAGCTGCATCAGTGTGGCCTCAGCAGAGGCAGTGACCGACAACAGTCGTATGGCATCAATGACAGTCACCTGCTGAAATAGGTCACTGCTAAAGGCCAGCTGTCCTTAAAATTCCAATTCCCTATGTACCAACAACTTTGAAAACTGGGCTATTTTGTCATACCCTGGGAAGCTTGATTTATGCCAGGGATATACTTGTGCAAAACCAATTGCAGTGCTGGATGGTTGTTCCATGTGAACTGGCAGACATTAGGGAAGTGGCAACACTTTCTGTATCCTAAATTGCATACAGTTATGAGTTATCTTGGCGTGGGTTGAGTTATAATATTTGCCCTTTGCACTACGGTGCAGCACAATCCTGTGGATGTTCACTCGGAACTAAGTTCTGGTGCATGTAGCAGGACTTTTGCCTAAGTAAATTTGCAGATGATTTTTTTTAATGTGAATTTTTCTTTTTACTTTTTAAACGGAATTTACTTACCCTTTGTCTTTCTTTTGCACAGCCAAAGAGACGATCGGCTAGGTTATCCGCTGTGAGTAGCTCTCCCGGTTCTTTTTTTCAGTCTTAATGTTTCCATTATGTGATGACGCGAGAGCCTTCGTGCAAGTAGGTTCCAGGAATGTCTACAAAACAGAGAATCTTCTTATTATGGAGGAGTGAAAGTGGGTGTGGTGTGGTGCAGTGCTCTTCCACTCTCGAAGTGGAAGTTCCTGATCTGAATCTCATCTTAGCCGTGACCTCAGAAGGCGACCTTGGGACACACATTCCAAGGAGCGCCAGGGCTGCTGCCAAAAATGGCAACTCTGCGGTCTCCCCTCCATTTTCATAACATCTAGTACAACTTGTACCTTGTTGGCTTATCTTTACACCTGTGCTGCATCCCCCGTGGAACTGAAGCCGGAAACTGCATGACGTGGTAGCGCCAGGATACAGTGAGACTTCATGGAAGGGAAGGCAAAAGGTAGCAGGGGACTTTCAGTGCTGGCTACAGCCTCGTGAGCTTTGTAATATGTTCCATCCTTAAGCAAGGCACCCAGGCTGACTTCCCCGTCTGCGGTGTGGGGATAATGATATGGCTTAATTTACAGAGTTCTTGGGGGAAGGATTGAGATGGTGCATATTTTGCAATACAGAAATGCAGTATTATTATTCATGTTCTATCTTCATGGCTAGTATTGCAAAAAAAAAAGCGGGACGGAATTCTGCAAACAGTGTACAGATCTATGTTCCGGATTACGCCATGATGCCTATTTGTGACCCCCCAAATTTTCCCACCGGCAAAATCTTGGTGCATTTAGATTCCCAGGTTGAGCCCAAGAGCTGTTGTAGCAAAATCCTCAATGTATTTTCAGGCACCTCCCTTCCTCCAATGCCTTTTATGATCCTTTCCCCTGAAAACTCCCCCCCCACCCACGGTTCATCCCCTATTCTACTCTTTCCTGTGTCCCCTTTCACAATCCTTTCTTCCCCTTTCTCTGCTTCTCTCTCTCTCTGTGACCTAAACACTTACCTTTCATGCCATTTCTTTCCCGAGCTGAGAAGAGCTCCTAGCACCTGCCATGTCTGAAACATCCCCACACCCCCCAATAACATTCATTGTACACAGGCTGAGGGACGGACTCTGATCTCTGATCTTGCAAAGACTTAAGCATAGTAACTGAGGCCACATACCAATTTATTTCACTTGGATAAATATCAGCAAGTGCAGGGAATGTATACCATTATCAACATTTTTCTTCACTCCCTATAGAACTTAAATTCTTCCATTTTCCCTTATGAAGGCTTCGCTGCATTTAAGGTTTTTTTTTTTTGTTTGTTTGTTTTAAAGTATGGGTAAGAGTTAGGGTTGGGGCAGCCATCTTGTGACGGCACCCACTGTCTTTCCTCAAAATTCTAAAAGTGCTGACAGGTTCAACAAAACTGAGGAGCAATTGACTGCAGAAAGAGTAAGAACTAGTTCCCTGGGCCCTTTGTTTGCAGAAGACTTGTTGAATTCTGTGGGTGTCACAGAAGAACACACCTCCTCTTGGGCAACATTCATTTCAGTCGGGCTGGGATTAGTGGATTATGACAAAAACTGAAAAGATGGGGGAGAGGGGAGACTCAACCCAAGATATATCTGTGAACCAAGAGGGTCAAGCTAACACTATATGATATATTCTAAAAATACAAATGTTTATTAAGGTGTACACATGTTAAAACATATTATGATTAAAAGGAAGAGTCTAAATTTCAGACTTTTTAAAAACTTTTCATATACAAATACACTTGACAGGTAAACACTTTTTAACTTAGGACCAAATGCGTTTCGGCCCCTTCGGGCCTTCCTCAATGGTCACTGTGCTCTATATTACACGGACACACATCCAAAATACACATATAAAAGGTTTTTGTATATATTATCAGACGTTGTTTCACCAGATGTTGTTTCCTTATATGTTTTTAGTTATGCTACTAGCCTATATGTTGGGCCATAAATATAGCCATGCCAATTCTTCAAATTATTCTAGTATCAGAGATGTCATTGGTCTGGATGTGTGTCACCTCTGTCAAAGGTAATGATCAACTTGAGGTGACACACACAAACCTTTTATACGTGTATTTTGGATGTGTGTCGGTGTAATATAGACATTAGTGGATTATGGTCAGCTCTGTATGCATTCTGTACTTAAAGAAAATGGCTGTGTTCGCATACACCATTCCTCATGCAACTGTTTGCTTCTCTTGCAGAAACCTGCTCCACCTAAACCAGAGCCAAAGCCGAAAAAGGCAGCACCCAAGGTAAAAAAAAAGTTTTTCTAAATAAACACTAAAGGCCATACGTTTCCATTGGTTGTTAGAAAGAGAATAACTCTAGCCAGCATTGGGCTTTCTCATCCACACAATCATTCATTCTTTTCCAGAAAAATATTTGGTAGATGGTTAAAACACACACACACACATATATATAAATTTTGGTGTGTGTGTGTGTGAAAGAGCCACAGCAGTTTGATTCTTTTGAACATATTCTTGAAGTTGCTCAAAGGGCATACTGATTTCCACTGTGTAAGTCCCAGCTAAAACAGTGCTCAAGTATATTTTGTTTGTATGCACCCCTTAAATCGCTTATGGAAGCCAGAGTGATGAAGTGGGTAGAAAGTCAGACTTGGATAGAGGAGACCTGTGTTCAAATATCCACTCTGCCATAAAGCTTACTGAGTGATCTTGGGCCAATCACTCTTTCTCAGCCTGTCCTACTTCACAGGGTTGTTGTGAGGATAAAACAGGGAGGGGGGGGAAACCATTTATGCCATATTGCACTCCTGAAAGGAATGGTGGGATAAAAATGTAGCATCTGGCTCAATGATCTTCCGCTTTGGAGGCCCAGGACCCATCTTTAACCCTTAGGTAGCAAAGGGACTCATTAAGCCAGAAGTACTTGACATCACAGCTACATGAGAGGTGAAGGGGAATTCTGATGGCCAGGACAAGGAGCAGTAGGCCAAGAAAGCCAGGGGAACACAAGCTGACTACCTTAAGGGGTATCGCTGTAAGGAACAGGCTGATGATTAGAATCATAGAGGAATCTCATCCGCTGCTGAGTGACCTTGCCTTAACTGTCTTCCTGTTCCTTCTAGTGTTTCTGCAAAGAGATGCAGGAGGTGTAGTGCCCTTGCACTCTGCATATGTACACTAGCAGCAGGTCCTTCCAAAAAGCAACAGAACAGATATGGTGGATTTATAGGGGCTCAGGAGCCTCTGACGGTCATGACCTATCAGTTGAAGGCCACTGATCTAGATGGGTTCCATGTGGAATGGGGGGGGAGTTTCCAAAGTTTCAGCTGGCGAAACCACAGAATTCACACATTGGGTCTAACTCAAATACTTTTGAAATCAGTATGCCTTTTTGCTGCGTTCAAGTTGACCTGCCAGCCAGTTAAATTTAGTTTAGTCAGTGAGTTGGCTGGCAGAGTCATCAGTGAAATGCCAGTATGATTGCGTGGCATTTTTCAAACACTTTTGTCTTCAGGGAATTCTTTTGCCTTTGCCTGCCAAAGAGCCCTCTGCATGCCATTTGTGGAATGTTCTGCGCATTAACAGAAGATGCTGCACCTTGGACCACGCCTAGCTCCCAGGACTGGTCTATACGTGCAGTGGAAATAGGCAGACAAATAGACTGCACCGCTTTAGTTTGTTGAAAAGGGAGGGAACGTCCTTTTATGTAAAAAAACCCTCCCTGCAAGTAGAATATTAGCACAACAAACAGAAGGTTGAAGGAGAACCTTTCTCCCTAATATGCTCATTTGATTTGGAAGGTTTAAAAAAAAATAAGATTTTTTTAACCACAAATTATTTGGGGGGAGGGGTTAACACTATATTTATATTTCTAAAAGCTTTTTATATTTTTCTGCAAACCTGGGGATTACCCTAGGTTTGCAGAAACATGTACCTTTACTCTTGGTGACTGATGCTCATGTTTCGATCCATCCTGAAGCACCAAGTGGGGGCCTGCAAGACTCA